TGTGATGTGTGGCGGTCGCGAGTAGACGTGCTTCGGTCGCTCTGTTGCAGTAAATTTAATATTTTTCAAAACTGTGTTAAATCGCTCGTTAAGATGCCTACTGATACAAGGTCCAATATAGATGAAGACGCTGTCGTTGAAAAAGTCGTATCCAAGGTCGTTACTTCCCAATCATTCATAGCACTCCTGTCAACACAAATTCGTGCTTGTATCGCAGAGGAATTCCAAAACCAAATCAAGGTGTTTTCGGAGAAGGTGGTACGACTCGAGAATGATTTAAGCCAAACCGAATCCGAGTTATCAAAAGTCAAAATCGAGTTAGCTGAAACTAAAGAAGCATTGAGGGTCTATAAGGACGAGACGGAGCAGTATTCCAGACGCAATAGTCTTAGGTTTTTTGGAGTCCCCGAGATAAATAAAGAGGATGTACCCACGGTGATCGCAACCCTGTGCTCCGAACGTATGCATCTCAATATTACTACAGATATGATTGATATTGCTCATCGATTACCTGGCAAAGAAGGAAAAAACCGCCCCATCATCGTAAAGTTCATCTCACGTCACGCAAAAAATCTAATCTTTAGATCCAAGAAACAACTAAAAGGCAGTTCGATTGTTATTCGGGAAGACTTAACAAAGGCTCGGCAGCAGCTACTCAAGGAATGTGCTACTAGGTATGGGTCGAAATGCGTTTGGACTAGCGATTGTAAAATATTTGTGAAAAGGGGGCCTAACGACATCAAGCGTATTAATAATTTGAGTGACTTAAACCATACATAAATCAAATATAATATTGCACAGTTTCTGCTATAAATGATTATGAATAATGCTGCAATGAGTTCACCTTTAAGCAAGCTATATTGCAAATTGTGGTATCGAGCTATCGTTCTTCAACTTGCGATATCAACGTCGAATACATCGCACTCAAGGCTGTCCAATTGTTCGGGTTTTGTTAGGATTAATTTGTAAACATTGAAATAAATAATATGTAAATTTGTTCAATCATGGATTGTTATCGTAATATTAAATTTAAGTAGTTTTCTTATAGTATGCGTCTAGGACACATTAATATCAGATCTTTGGTACCCTCTCTCTATGATCTTAGAAGTTTTTTAGATGCGAACAATTATGATGTACTTGCAATTGGTGAAACGTGGTGTCATCCAGGAATAACAGATGAAGCCATTGAGGTTAATGGCTATAACGTATACCGAAAGGATAGGGATGGTAGAGCAGGAGGAGTTTGCATCTATGTTAAACAATCATTTAAATGTAATGTCGTTAAGAGCAATAGTCAAATTGAGCAGTTATGGTTATCGATTAAAGTTGGTAAGTTTAGTGTTGCTTGTGGTTGTGCTTACAGGTCACCAACAGTAAATTACAAATTATTTTTGGACGAATTGGAGTCTTCACTAACGCTGATGCACAGTAGCGGCGATCTCGTTGTTTGTTTAGGTGATCTGAACATTGATATGAGTTGTAATCATTTACCTGCAACAGAATATATTAGCACAATGTTAGATGCTATTAACTTTAAGCAATTAATATGCGAACCCACACGGCTCACTAAAAAATCGTCAACGTTAATCGACTTAATTCTGGTCAACGATTCAGAAAGGGTAAGCTCATCAGGTGTTCACTATAACGGTATCACTTCAGATCACGAAACAATCTACTGCGATCTAGATATTGCTACTACCAATAATCCAGCGATATTCAAATCTTTCCGGGGTTTCACTTACATGGATGCAGTGAAGTTTAATGACGATGTGCATAGAGTTCCATGGCAGAACGTATTTTATCTTAGCAATGTTGATGATAAGGTTGATTTTCTCTGCCATAATATATTACACTTAATTAACAAACATACGCTCATTCGAAACATAAAGGTAACTAAACGAAATGCGCCGTGGGTAACACCCACTGTCAAAAATTGTATGCAACTCAGAAATGAAGCATTAAAGAAATTTAAGCATACAAGGTCGCAAAGCGATTGGTCTTATTACAAAAATCTGCGAAATCAGGTGAACTTTATGCTGAAACATGAAAAAACAGCTTTCTTTGAACAAAAGATCAATGCTAATAATAGTAAGCAGCTTTGGAAAGATTTGAAAGAGCTTCTATCATCTAATAATCTGCACTCTGAATTGCCTGTCCATCTAAGTGACCCTGAAGCTATAAATACCTTTCTATTAAGCTCAATACCGAACTCAAATGATCGCGATGTAGCCCATTTAGTCAACTTCTACAAACAGAATAATCCGTTTTCCAATGAGGATCAATTCAATTTCTCACCAGTCCTCACAGCTGATGTCGGCAAAATTATATCGGGAATTAAATCTACAGCTACCGGACACGACGATATTAATATCAATATTATCAAACTATTTTGTCCCACAATTCTACCTTACCTCACCCATATCATAAACGAAGTCCTGCAGTCTGGTAAATATCCGCTATCATGGAAACAAGCCGTGATAACACCATTACCAAAAATCAAGTGCCCTAAGGAATTCAAAGATTTACGGCCTATAAGCATACTTCCTACAATGTCTAAAATAGTGGAAACGGTAATTAATTCGCAGCTGAGGTCATATGTGTTCAGTAAAAATATTATTCCCCACCATCAGTCTGGTTTTAGACCGCATCGTAGTTGTACTACATCTTTGATAGACATCACGGATGAAATTATCTCCGCCACCGATTCGAAGATGGTATCTGTCCTAGGGCTTTTAGATTTCAGTAAAGCTTTCGATACACTCAACCATGATGTTCTTCTCAGTATCCTTGGAAGTGTTGGATTATCAACAGCTGCGGTTAATTTGTTTAGTAGCTATTTAAGTGGACGGAGCCAATGCGTTAAAATTATGTCACGCCGATCTCGTTTCTTACCAACTCTTAGGGGTGTTCCCCAAGGGTCTATTTTAGGCCCTCTTATGTTTATTCTTTACACATCCCGTTTTAGTGAATACATTTCGCATTGCAAAATGAAAATGTACGCCGATGATACCCAAATCCTACATTCATTTCGCGTGGATGAGTCCATAGCTGCTGTTCGTAATATAAATGATGATCTACGTTCAATCGAAGCTGTCTCACGTATGCATTCACTGTTCATAAATCCGGCGAAGTCTTCAATAATATTTTTTGGAAATACTGATAATATCCGAGCCATCAACCAGCATGCATATTTTTTTTTGAACGACACAAACATACCGATTAAAACCGAAGTGAAAAACTTTGGGTTTGCACATGGACAATTCGTTTAGATACGATACTCAAATCAATATGTACCTCAAGAAAAGTATAATCAATGTAAAGTTAATATATCCACATAGGAAATCTTTACCAATAAAAACAAAAGCTTTGTTGTGTAACTCTCTTGTATTATCGCATTTCAATTACTGCTCCGAGCTATATTGGTCGTCTATAAAGCAAGATACGGTACGACGCATTCAGCGAGTACAGAACAGTTGCATGCGAATGATTTATGGTATACGTAAATTCGAACGCATTTCGCATAAACTGCGTGATTTGAACTGGCTGAATATGAGCAATAGAAGAAGACTTCAGTTTGCAACACTCTGCCACAAAGTACTGACCACAAAGACACCAGTTTATCTCTTTAATAAAATCCGCTTCAGAACAGATGTTCATAATATAAATTTAAGATACCGCGGTTTAATTTCTCCACCAAAGCATTCCACTGCCCTATACGAACGCACCTTTCAGTACCAAATTTATAAAGTCTATAATAACTTATCAGCTGAACTCAAAGCTTCATCTCTTCCTCTCTTCAAAAAAAAACTGTTCCGTTCTTTATTACATCTTCAAAATGACGCATAATAACATCATCAATTCATCAGTCACATAAAGATAAATTACAAATAATTGTTTGCAAATTAGTTCCGACGCCGACCTAACATCTCAGAATTTTAGTTTAAGTTAGAATAGGCATAATTTCACCTTGCTATTCTTATCTTTTTTCACGGCTCCAATGGAAGACCAATGGTAGTTTAACTACTAATTTGAATTGGCACCGTGTGATTCCTCATAAATATCGTACTACTAAATTTCTTCTTCTTCTTTTCCTTTTCTAGTTATCTTGCCATTTGATCATTAATTTAGAAGTTTTTCTTTATTGTTATGAATAACTATAATCGTTTTTTTATATTTTGATATGTGAAATTTTGATATGAGACCTATGGGGACTAAAGGCTATTATTATTATTATTATTATTAATAAATCGCTTTCCTTTTAACGTAAGAAAAAACTTTAATAGCTGCTCTTCCAATAGCGGCAATCGCTCACTTTACAAAGTTTCTTTTTGAAATCGGTTCTTTTCTTTTCCAATAATCTCACAAATTTTAAATGCGAGCAGCGAGCTAATTAAATGATAATTAATTCTTATTTTTAATTTAAATTAACTAAAAGTTTGTAAAATTCATTTCGCAGAGTTTTAATTATGAATTTCATATTCGTTCACTACACTACACTTCACTACATCCTAGTAACAAAATCTAGTATTTCTGCAATGCAATGCTACCTTATTTGATTCACTCAATCGGGAATTTCAAACAAGTGTAAAATTTCGTTTTCTAAGCAATGAAACCTTCCGGCATTATAAATCGAAGCAGCTAGTTTCTCTCTCCTCGTATAAAAAGTAATAAAATTTGCATTTCAGTTTAATTAAGAAACAATACTGTGTAATTGGGGCTCGCGTAAACTAGACGGATATCTGCAATATTGCATGCAAATTTTACAACGTGAAATGTAAATGCATAAATTTAAAGTTACATTGTATTGTATTGTTGCCTTTCTTGCTTCAACAAATGCGCGCGTGTACAAAAAACTAATAAATAAAAGTCCAAATGCTCGTTTCGAAGACGAAACGAAAAACAATGAAAGCGAATTTGTTTTGCATATCTGTCGCATGAGTGAAAACAAATAAGATGTAACGTCATCAAGCTTCAATTTTATCTTGTAATTTTATTTGCAGGTCTCCCGGGACTAAGAGGACCGCAAGGACCTCCGGGACCGCAGGGCCCATCGGGTAGGTAGAATTGAAAATTGCACTGAAGTGTTTTTGAGTTTCGATACATCATCCCTCCGTGATTCCCAATGGAATTAGGCACGTTTTTCCAATGCTAATTTATAATTGATTCTTTGCGTTTTCTGTTTGTGCGTCCGAAGTAATTAAAATGTGTGTATGTGTACAAATTTATTGGAAATTTTAGAATGCTGTGTAATTAACCCTGTATTGTCTTCTTAATGAGTAGCGAAACTAATTCCCCTATTTAAAGACGCCAGCTTCTCTTAGGAGCGAATAACATTCTCCGAAGGGAAGCTTGATGTGTTAGTAGGAATTTCAGATGAATGAATTGATCTGCATTCTCCACTACATCAACCGACGCCATTCTGATGAACTAGATATGTTGATTTATATATTACTTATCCTAATTATGACATTTTTGTTGATGTAAGAACATTAAAAAAAACCTTGGCCATAACATATTAGAGTGCAATATTTACTTTCAGCAGTTTAAAATGCATTAATTTATTAAGCACGCCGTAAAACATACCTCCCAAAATGATAATGCTCACTGATGAAGATAATCTTCCATTCCTAGAGTGGCAAGAGGTTGATAAAGCATAAACTAAGTAGCAGTGCGTAATTTTTATGATCCTTGAGCCCTTTAGAAGTGAAAACGACGTCATTAAGCTTAATTTCCACCATCAGCATTAATCTCCATATCTTTATTTAATCAAAACTGCCGTCGTCAACGTGAATATAAGTGCAGAGCTAATAAGCTTATGCTGTATCATTTATGCATGAGCGTTGAAATTTCAAAGATAAAACGGCTTGTAGTGTTGGTATTAGATCTATCTTAAGACTATTTCATTCCTTCCTTCTGCAGGCATCGCCGGTCCTCGAGGTAGGACGGGAAAGCCCGGCAATCACGGAACACCAGGAATACCTGGAATTACAGCGTGGAAGACTAGAGTCAATGGAAGTTCTGAACTTCTTATGGCACCATCTATAGCAGGTTAGTTGCATTTGTATACGTATGTGCGAAAACTCAATTTGAGATCATCACACGCTCTTGTTGTCAAACGTAAAAGAATATGAAATCACTCCATTTACATAACTTACATGCAGCTCTGCGTTGGGGAATTTCACAGAAAAACACAAATTTAATTTGCTACGGGTTTAAATTGATCTTGATTAGAAATATTTACATACTCTTGTCAAATATTTGAGAGATTGGAATTTGTAACTCGTCTCTGGGGGGTCGGGCTTTACATTTTGTGTATCTCACGCGGGCGTACAATAGCTTTAGACGTCAGCTTTAAATCGTATTTATATTTATTCACACTTTAACAACCTTTTCAACTGAAATTCCGACCGTTAACTGGTAGGTATTTTCCAATTCACTTTGTGTAATACTTTTTGGCATTGGAATCTCTAATAAATTAAGTGCTCTAGAGTGTAAATGTCGAGAAACTGTTGGTGGGTGATACGTACAAATTAAAATCGGATATTGTTGGTAATGTGCGAAAAAGTTACCCAGATTCTTCGTTTCGACATAAATAGTAGGCAACTATCTACTTTTGGGAAAAAAATGGGATAAATCTAAACGAACAATAGAAATGACGTAATTTTCTACGGAGGTCCCTGCTCTATAGGGCGAAGAAAGAGCAGATGCGAATATTTTAACGTAAGACGGTCAATATAAAAGAGATTTTGGATATTCGTAGCTGGTCAACGATGATAGTGAAACACATTGCAATAGGCTTTGTTGCATGTAAAGGGGTTCACCTTCTTCTTTATAGAAAACACGACATTTTGAAATTCTATTTAAAATCATAAATTCTTTAAATAATTATTATTTGACCGACAGCTAGCTCTATATGAAAATTTACTTCTACTAATTGAAGGGTTCTTCTTCATTTCCACAGTATTTCGAATATATTACCTAGTGAAAATATTTCAATTTACATTGACTTTTACAGGTTTTGTTGTTTAAGGTTACCTTTAAACATTCATATCGATTATATAAATGGGTTGATTACAATGCTTCTTGAAACTCTCTGATACGCTTACGCAATGGAAATGGGACTCTCCGTTCGACGGCATTACGACGAATACCAAAAGATGTGGAACGCAGTTATTTTTCCGGTGGATCCTTGTTTTTTGAAAATTATAAACAAACCACAATTTTCATTAGTGTTACTGTTTGAGGTTAATTCGCTTGATCAACAATGGGAAACGGTACTTTACGAAATAGAAGAAAATTTTAATCCGTAATAAAATGTCTGTTAATGTCTTTTGGTTTTTTTCCTCTACGATACAATTTTTTCTACGACAAAATACCTAGGTTTAAGCCCTAGTTAATGTTCGCAATAAAGACATTATGCGACTCCGAAAATGTATTAGCGCAGCTATATAAGTTGCCCTTGACGCAAAGCGGTGGTTTATCCCCAAACATAAACAAATCCGATGTTAAAACGGACACTCCGAATTTATTTATTTCACAGTTTTTCTCTTTTAAGAATAACTAGTAGAAGTTGCGTTATTATCGTTCCAAACACGAATACTGGTCGCGATGGATGACCCTGCGTCGAATATGGTTCAACTTTTAACAAAGTTCTTGCACTAAGAACAACGTATTTACAAACGTAAATCTTTTTCAAAGAGCCACGCACTGGACATAACTGCCTAAACGCCACTCTTTCTTCAAATGTTACTGGGGTTAGTTAAATAAATTTAATAAAGTATAAAGAAACTATACATTCACAATAATTATTAAATTCCTCAAACGGAATCTGACAGGACGGGACCAACGGACGGACTCGAGCGCCACCAAGGGATTAGAGGACTTGCCCCCGGACAAAAAACGGATTCCACAGACAACACGTCGGAGAAATGGTCTCCAGAGATCTTGCGATATGGCAAAGGAAGTGAAAACAAAATTATGGCACACGAGCACGATAGCGATTGTCGTAACGAAAACGCAAGCAACAAAAAACAAATTAATTAGCGGTAGCTACGGGAAATCAAATACGGGAAAAAGAAACAATATTCCCCCTTATTATTAATGGAACACAAAGTAGCTCTCCTTGCAATCGTAGCGGTAGAATTTTTTTCGCAAGAAAAATAAAATACGGTAAACACGGTCCGGTAAACTTAATAGCGAGTTTGCGGACACGTATTTTCCGTTACGTTAGACAGCCATTTGTTCTTATGATATAACGTAAGGGAAATTTAGTGAAACGCGCTTGCGGATAAATTTATTGTTGCTGGAATTTGATTGGTTTACGTTATTTATAAACATAAGGTATAACAGTGTTTTTATACGGTATAATTCTTAAGCTTTTTTACGTTATAAGATATAACGACAAGTTTTGTAACGTAAAATGTACATCCGCAAACTCGCTAATGTAAAAGTAAAAATTAAACGGTATGAATGCAAAATAAATTTACGGAAAGTATATACGAAACGGTACAGTGAATGTTCAAGGAAAGCATAATCAAATGGTACTAATGAATCGATTTACGGAAACTATCAAAGGTATATTTACAAACGTACCTAGCGAAACATCAAAGTCAAAAGATCGATGATTTAAATACGGTCCGGTTGTCAAAGAAAATTTACGGAAAAGCTCAAAATTACGGTACCTACGAACGTAACTTGAAAAGATACAAAAGGCAAATACATTCCCTCAAAATTAAGCGTGTATTTTTTATACACTTCCCAAAATACGAAGAGGGAACGTAAGATATTGCAAGCTGGCCGGGGTATTCGGTTAATAAAATTAAAGTTTCTTTAATTAATTACTCGGTTTAAGATCATCCTAAAAATCTGTAACTGGTTTTACAATTCCTATTAATTAACAGCGCTTCTTTTGAGACCACTCCCGACTAAATCGGATGCTGTTTACTGCATCTCATGAACTAGCTACTATTAATTATACTTAATTGACACCTACTGTTAACTGGAATGTTGGGATCAACCGGCGGGGTCGGAGACAGCAAGCGAGACGTATAGACTGCACGGACGCGACTGGTTTTAAGCTTGTTTGCAATTAATATCGGAAGCTAAAACTGGCAAGTAATGACTTAACCCTGGACTTAACGGAGCTGAAATTCTAAAATATTAATTCGCCCTCGTGTTCTAAATGACAAGACCTTTTGGACGTAACAAAGATAATTCAAATATCTTCACGGGAACGGTTGCAAACGGCGAATTAATTACAACTTTTGTTTACGGTAACGGCGGCTCAAACACAACTCTACAAATTAAATCATTTACTTATATCTTCAACTCCTAGAACCAACGCAAATACTTTCGGCACGACCCTTTTCATAATGAAGCACCTCAAGGTACCGGGTGTTCACGTATGGCGTGGCCGTGAAAGTATGTAAATTTCAATGCGGAAGATTGGTGTTTCGTTATAATCGAGCGCTTCATAACTCCTTGATAAAACTGTTTCACTTTTGCCTAATGCATCCATACCTCCTTAACGAATTCATCACGTCTTGAGAACACTCTTAAGCATTCCTTACGCTTTTCGTGCGCCCCCTCATATCTCTTTACGGTCTTTACAGCCCCTCCTTGCTTCTTCCTTTTACAACCACGCAATTTACGTTTCTTTCATGAATTGATCTCTTTTTTGTCGACTCTTTTACGTGTATTCTTTAGCGCATTTTCCAGCTCATGTTCTCCGCCCGTCCGTCCGAGGCCGACGGGAATTCTAAAAATTCGAACGCTACATCAAACGTTATAGGCCGATGTATAGTTGGTAGAGTATTGTTTTTTCTTTTGAAATCAATGTTTTATCCATAACTTTTGATGTAGTAGTTTTTTCCGGTTGTTTAGATTCTAAAGACCACGAGTCTTTGTCCGGTCCATCGCTGAAACTCGTTTTTTTTATGAAATGATAATAATAGAAGTGAATTTCGGTTAAAAAACAACTCATTCTTTACACTTGCTTCGAGAGCATTCAATTCAATTGTGCTTCCTTCACGTTTTATGCACTTCAGTATCATGCCTATTTCACCTTCGAGCTTTTATACTCATAACTGCTTCCTTCTTACTCTTTTCATGCTCCTTTATGATGTGTTCATGTCTCCTTCGCCCCTTTTTTACGCAGCTTTAGGATAATTTCACTCTCTCTTCTCACATACACGTCTCCATAACGCCATTACACTTCTTTTAGCTCCCTTTCGCAACCCTTCACAGTGTAACGGGCTTAATTATATTTACAAGGTTCGAAGACCTAATTTTTCCATTTACCCATGGCTAGCTCAGTAATAAAAATGTTTTATATCCCTTACCTTGGGTAAGTTTGGCTCTTCTCATCTTCTTTTGAAGCCAGAAATTCAAAATCTAATGTTCTGGTTTGAACGAACTCGATTAAATACGCATAAGACTTTAGTTCATTAATGTATTAATAAAAACAAACGCGATCAAGATAACTGAGTTTAACTCATAAAAGATATACAAAAAATTCGATGCCTGTTTGTGATAACGTGTCCATGCAAACTTTCATTCTTATTTAAAACTCATCTTTACCGCATATATAGGTCTTCTGCGGGTATGTGTACCGATTAGCTCGAAAATGCTCCTTTGCGTAGTTTTTACCACTCGTAAATGAGCGGCCTTGTTACCCATCTCATTTTACTTACACTCTTCTTAACGACGCGATTGAAGAAAATAATCGCAATCACGTTCTGAATGCAATTATGCGAACATATAATCCTAACATACATAATATAATACGTGCTAGTTCTTTGAAAGTGTAACTTCGTCTGCCGAAAAACCTCCTTACAATCCAATACCTCTCTTCGCTTATCTTGCGCACCTTTCTTGAAAATGTACGCGTTGTTATTGCCAGACAAACTTTTATTCATGGTCGCTATGAAGCGGTACATGTGTAAATTTTTCTAAAAATACACATTCTAAAAAATAATTTAGTTTTCAAGCGGCGACCCGTTACAATTCACGATTCATTGACTGCTTTCCTGCCAACTTATGCCGTCTTT